GCTGTCTTCCCGGCTTCTGTAATGGCTGTCATGCCCAGTGCCCACACTACAGAAGCGGGAAGACAGCGGCCGCTGGGATCTGTCATGGTCCAGGTACCGCCGCTGCACAAAGCGCACCGCTTCTCGCGCAGCGCACTGGGCACCTGGCTGTCATGCCCAGAACTACAGAAGCCGGGAAGAACAGCACGCCGCTGGATAGAGGAACAGGTAAGGTCCCGCTGCAGAGCTGAGCGGCCGGCCCGGTATTCTGACACGGCCGCGGTGGAAATACCGGACCGGCTACTCCATATTCACCTTATAAGACACACTGACATTTCCCCCCCAGTTTTGGGGAAGAAAAAGTGCGTCTTATACGGCGAAAAATACGGTAAGCTGGTTATGCTTAAATTAATAAAATGCTAATATAAGTGCAAAAGATAAATGATATATATAGGTGCTGTGCACGTGATGATAAAGATGATGAAAAGTCTATATATCTCAAACAGCTCTCTTATGAAGAGAGCGCATGTCAGTTCATGAAATAAATTAATAATAACTCAAGTCTCTAGATGGTAATCCGTGTATTCTTGGGTATTCAATTCAGGTGATGTGTTAAAGGTTTGTTAAAAATGCACACTCACCAGATGGCAAATCATAATACGCAATGTATATGAGATCTCTTGGACCAGACCAGGCTGCCCATTACTTTTAAGGGGGACCTCCAGCTTATTGTCATATACATTGCGTATTATGATTTGCCATCTGGTGAGTGTGCATTTTTAACAAACCTTTAACACATCACCTGATAAGAGAGCTTCATAAGAGAGCTGTTTTAGATATATAGACTTTTCATCATCTTTATCATCACGTGCACAGCACCTATATATATATCATTTATCTTTTGCACTTATATTAGCATTTTATTAATTTAAGCATAACCAGCTTATATGTTTTTATGATTCATGCTTCATTGGTATACGTTTATTTAAATCATTTAGTGCTGCACCCCTATGTTTATTTATCTGCTGAATTATTAACTTTGTCATCCAATTTCCGCCTTTGTTCACTATGGGTCATATGGTTCAGGTTTCTGTTTGTAGATTTTCTCTGATTTTTTTTGCACCCGATATACTTTGGATTAATACTGTAAGGTTTCTTGTTTGGTTTTCTTTCTACAGTCTGAAGAACTGCTGATGTTAAAAGATTTCATAAATAAAGAATGAATAAAATAAGGGGCCAGCACAGTGGCTAGGTGGTTAGCACTTACGTCTAGCAGCACTAGGGTCCTTGGTTCAAGTCCCAACCATAGCACTACTGACACACTTCTTCTGGGTACTCCAGTTTCCTCCCACACTCCAAAGACTTGCTGATTGGCTAATTGTCTCCTATCTAAATTGGCCCAAGTATGTGTATGTGCACACAGTATGAATGTCAGATAGGGACCTTAGATTGTAAGCTCCTTTGAGGGCAGGGACTGATGCAAATATACAATATATATGTAAACACTAAATTGGTGATAATATACAGTATAATTACCAGTAATAAATAAAAGAAGCATTTTTGAGTACTCTGGGATTCTCAGTCATACAGGGTGAGGGGTTTCGGGGGTGAGCAGGCAAAGAGGGAAAAACTGATTTGCAGTTTTCCCAGGATTATTATGTCATGATATGGGGCTAGAAATCTGGGGGCTCAAAGAGATCTTGATTGGGAAGGAGCTTCCAGCCCTGATTACGGGTACCTTGGACCTGAACGGGTTAACCCACCTGCCTGAGAGAGGCTTGAAAAGGGCAGGAGGCAATCAGAAGGTGTCCATGAGGTGTTGTGTGGAACAGGACACAGTGGTGAGGGAGCTGTTTGTCTGCTGAGCCTTTCTGCCATGACTCCTGGAGTAGGCAGGGACTATAAACCCTGTGAGACAAGTTTATGTTGGCCTGAAGGTTTCGTGGGTACATTGCATGACAGTGCAATTACCAGTTAAAGTAGTAGTGCTAAATAGGGGACTATAAAAATCCCAGAGCTGTTGTGAGACAATAAGGCTATCCCAGTGACAGTTGCAGCGGTTACACACACTCTGAGCTGAAGGTTAGGTACACCCGTCAATTGTTGGTAACACAAATTACAGTCAGACATGGCAGCATTACATTGCATTTAGGCATCTAGACGTGGTAAAGATGACTTGCTGAAGTTCAAACCAAGCATCACGACGGGGGAAAACCAGAGCTGAAGTGAGTTATCTTTTGATGTAACCTTTTCAAAAACTGCCACCGACCATTTCTATACAGGCTAATCCCAGTTTAATTCACAGTTTCTAGCAGGTAATTCATTTACAAAATCTCCAGAGCTGAAGTGATTCTATGAATTAAGGCTGTTTGAAGGTAAAAGGGGGTCCAACCAGATACTAGCAATCAGTGGTGTACAGTTGCAAGAAAAAGTATGTAGAACCCCGTGGAGTTTTGCGAATTGCATAAAATGGGCTTGTCATCAGTCACACGATAGAAGAACACACAGTCTGTGAACACAATACTACACAAACATTAGAGTTGCAATGGTTTAATTGCACATAACATGTAAAACATTCACAGTGCAGGGAGGAAAAGTTGTGAGGCAGCTTAATGCTTGGTCCCACATAAGGCTACCAGTGACCATGCAGCATGGCAGCAACACATTGCATTTTGGCATCTAGACTGGTTTCAAGATGACTGAAGTACAAACACAGGACACTCATTAGGGGAACAAAGGGTTCAAAAGTTGCTTGGTAACACCTACAAATTACCAGCCAGTCACATGGCGTGGTCATCAGCAAGAGCACAGCGCAGAATGCTGCATGAGGTAAAGAAGAATCCCAGAGTGAGCTTGTGAATGCTAACATTTTTGTTGACACATCAAACCAAACATGCTGATACTGGGGACTGGGATTTTCAGCACACAACCATGGCATAGTTTACAGAGAATTGAGGTCCACACAAAAGAGTATTTCAAAAAAACCATGCTTTGATCTAGGGCCTGGACGGATTGTCACACAAAATTTCTAGGGTTTACAAAATAGGAAAAAAAGAGAAAATCTGTCTGCCAACTGAGCTCCGCAGAGGATGGGTGATGCAACAGGACAATGACCCAAAGCATACAAGTAATTCAACAAAACAATGGCTGCAACAGCAAAATACCTCAGAGTGTTAATGCTGTGGCAGGGAGCGATCAGAGGAGAATGGTTTCTAGAAAATAGAAAGGCAACAGTAATTCATGTCAATATGAACCAAAATCTCTGAGGAATGTTTCCAACACCTTGTTGAATCTATGCCAGAATTAAGGCAGTTCTGAAGGTAAAAGGGGGTCCAACCAGATACTAGCAATCAGTGGTTTTTCTTGTACGTATTTAGGTTTTGTGCTGCCCTAGGCAACCCAAAAATCATCTGCCCCCACGGATACAGACCAGCACTACCTCCCCTTCCCCCTCCCATGGAGAGAGCCTGACACTGACCAACAACAACCCTGCCCAGGGGCGGACTGACCATTTGGAAACTTGGGCACTGCCCGAGGGCCCGGGGTCAGTAGGGGGCCCCATGAGATGCCCCTGGTACCTTTTTCATAGGCTTTTTTGAGTTTGGGCAAGGACACAGGGGCCCCATGATCCCCTATTGCCTGGGGGCCCCATGAGTTGCCAGTCCGCCCCTGCCCCCCACCTAGACGAGCCTTCACTCCCCCTCCATGGTGACAGCGAGAAAGACACTCATCTTCACAGCTCCGGACATCCCCGGGAATGATAGTCAAGCTCTACATACACAATCAAGCAGCTCTCATCCTCTCTCAGATCCCACCTGGTTCCCATGGTGTGCGTATCCTTTCTTTCATCCCTTCTTTTGGGAGGAGGTGCTGTCCCCCTAAAAAATGCCACCCTAGGCAAGTGCCTTGTTTGCCTTATGGTAAATATGCCCCTGCTAGCAATACGTACCTAATAAAGTGGCAGGTGAGTGTATATCAGCCAGGAATGTGTGTGTACATCTTCAGCCAATTGTCCAATGAAAGTGGTTTGGGCGACTTTACATCACTTATTGGGTGTGGAATCATGTGGAGATAGCAGAAAAGACTGGGGTAGTAAGTCCTAGAAGAGTGGAGAGGCTCTGGAGAAGTCCTCGAGGTGAGTCTGGGAGTGCTAGTGAGGGAAAATAAAAGATGAAAAAAAATTTGTCCCAGTTTCTTGGAACAGATGACATCACTGTGTCTCACAGATGCTTCCAGTGATATCTGGGCCCAAGTATGCCTTCCTGTCCATTGCAGTGCATCCTCGCAGTGCTCAAGAGGCAGTGATGAGGCGCAGTGACATCATCTATGCCTTCAGCTGGGATCAAGACTTTTCTTTTTACTTTTGTTTGTTTTTCAGTGTTTCTTTTTTTTTGAGCTTGGGGGGCTAGCAGGAAAGCATACCTCCAATTTGCATGGAAGGTCCACTAAGGTGTGTGTAAAACATAAAAGTGGAAGTGCCATTAGCAGTCAATAATAAACCTTGTCCCTCATGTTGATTGTTATGTATTAGAACCATGTTTTCATTATTATTATGTTGTACAGGTCTTTGTGATGCTACTATGCTGTAAGGAAAGCAATTCTCCAATTTGCATGGCAGGTCCGCTAAGATGTGTGTAAAACATAAAAGTGGTTGCCATTAGCAGTCAATAATAAACCTTGTCCCTCATGTTGATTGTTATGTATTAGAACCATGTTTTCATTATTATTATGTTGTACAGGTCTTTGTCTTTGTGATGCTACTATGCTGTAAGGAAAGCAATTCTCCAAAGCAACAGTAGGGGTCACCATTACACATGGCGAGACACAAGAGTGATGAATGAAAATCACCACAGCGAGGGCGAAAGAACACTTCCGGAATACAGGGAGGCGTGTCCTAGATTCCTGTCACAGAATATGACAACCAATGAGAACAGGCATTGTCCCTATGGTAACATGCGTCTAGGATACGTCACTAATGCGGAAATGTGGTCAGCACAGAGGTGTGAGGAGCCCGGACGGTGATGGGTTTTCTCCTGCAGCTCATTGCGGGCTTTGTGCTCCTCTCGCTGGTGTTAGTAGTCAGGATATGGCTGGTGCTGAGGAGCCCGGGCATACACCGCGCTGCCAGGAAAGGCCATGTGAGCCTGCTGGCGGTGGCGGGTTCTGGTGAGTTGTGTGGAGATGGGCTCCTTCTATTCATCGACTGGTCAGGGGCACTTGAGTCTGAGTCTATAGAGTGGGAATGACAGAATGTAAAGGAGACCTGAAGGCAAGACGTTGTATTCCATTGTGGATAGTCAGGTTGTATTCCATTGTGGATAGAGTCAGGTTGTATTCCATTGTGGATAGAGTCAAAACAACATTTGAAGTTTTTTGCCATCTGTGCCCCAGTGGGGAGATTTCCCTTCACTTCCTGTCAGACAGCCAGGAAGTGAGAGAAAAATTCATAAAAAGTGAGGGAATCCTGGGTGTCACCGAACTAGTATCCCTGTTGGAAGATTTCCTCTTGGTTACAGTTCTGGTGAACTCAGATTTGGGGATTTTCTTCCATTTTTACTCTCGGTGATCATGGTTAACCTGACCAAAAGGGTGATTCTCCCAAAGGGCTTTTTCACATTGGGGAGGAGGAACAAAAAACAGTTTTATTGTTCCCAGACAAATCCTAACAATACATCTGTGCAGGACTGTATACATGCCGTGGTCACATTGCTGTGGTTCATGGCTACAGCATTTTTAACTCTCTGCAAGCAACACCACCTGTCAGACTCGCCCATTGAGGTCAGTGGGGCTGTGCCACAACCTCAAGTGATTGCGGCTCATTAGTGTAGCATTATAGTGTTAATCAGATAGTAAGAAGGCGTTACAGCGTCTCCTCAGTGCCTGACAAATGCCCTCTGAAAGGCGATCTAATTGTGGATCATTCTTCAGAGACCACCGCAAGTGTGAAAGAGGAGCACAGACAACAATAAAATCATGACAGGTGTTCTAACACCTCTTCTCTTCATCCATACTTTAATGCAGGCCATATATGAGGACAGGCATATGTTTAGGCTCTTTAAGAGAATCTGTCACCAACATAAAGAAGAATTTCACTCTACCTAACCTAAATCACATTTTAGAAATCCCAATACTTGTCCTGGTGTAAAAATAACATAAATTAAAAAAAAAAAAACAACAACACACTCGTCCATGGAGTCCAACCTTGTCTTCTTTGCAGGTGAAATCCTTGCACTGTTGTGCTTCCACTTTGGCATCTTGAAACAAGCTCCAGTTCGTGCGTGGACACAGTTGGTCTCTACCGGGTCCTATAGACCTGCAGTATGTCTGCCCTTACACACAACCTCACAATCTGCCTTCTAGGATGTGTGATGTAGATATCCCAGGAGGCAACAGGTGGGCAGATACGTCATCCCGCTTAGGTGAGGAGGGTGACACTATAAAAAAAAAATGTTAACGCCCAACTCCAGGAATTAAAAGAAAAATCCTTCCCAGCAATGTGAGGGTTAAATGCTCATTATGTCCAGTGGTGTACAGTGCAGGCTCTGTGTTACCTTATACCAGTGTTTCTCAACTCCAGTCCTCATGGACCTCCAACAGGTCATGTTTTCAGGATTTCCATTATTTTGCACAGGTGATTTGATCAGTTTCACTGCCTTAGTAATTACCACAGCTGTTTTCATCTGAGGGAAATCCTGAAAACATGACCTGTTGGGGGTCCATGAGGACTGGAGTTGAGAAACACTGCCTTATACCCTGCTCCAGTGCTCTCTTCCTCTTCCCAAAGCTCCTGTCGGTGGAGTCTCAGCATCATCATGTACAATGCAGGGCTATTAACCCTGTATTGTACATGGAAGAGACTGGAGTACATTTGGAGCCAGTTACAGCTTACACAACAGGCTGAGGGGGACCCATTGCAGCACTGGAGGGGCCCTGCTGGAGTCAGAACTAAGCTATTTACTGCCTTTCTGTGCATCCTAGACATAGCAAGCATTTAACCCTTATGGCAGAGTGGGTTGTGTGGGCTTCCCTCAAGGGGGGAATTTTTTAATTTTTCATCAATTTAGGCTTTAACAAAAAATATACTTTTTAGATAGCTAAAGGCAAAACCTTTTTTTTGCTTTGGATGGAGTGGAAAGGGATTAGAAAGCTTGTCAGTTTTTATTGCTACTTTTGCCCTCATCAGGGATATTTACCCTTTCTATTTGTCCTGTTTACTATCATCATTGAAAATAAAAGAAAATTCCTAATTTTGGGTTGTCCCCAAAAAAGTAATAGAGGGGAAATCTTCCAATGGGGATACTAGTTCTGGTGACCTGGGAGTTTCCAAGGGTTTCCCTTAATTTGTAGGGATTCTCTCTCACTTCCTGTTTGGTTATGGGACAAGAAGTCAAGGTAAATCTCTGAAATGGGACACAGATGGTGAAAAAAAAATCTAACAGCGATTATAACCCTCCTTTACTCTATCCAAAATAAAAAGCGTTTTGCCTATAGTTCTACTTAAAAAAAACGCAGAAATTATATATTTTACATATTTACATTGGAGCAGCTGCTGATATCGTGTGATCGCTGTGACCAATCACAACAGATCACATGACAGTTGTACACTAAGAATTATTATTATTATACAGGATTTATATAGTGCCAGCAGTTTGCTCAGTGCTTTACAATATAAAGGGAGACAATACTACAACAATACAGTTCAATACAAGAGGGTTAGGAGGGCCCTGCTCCTTGGAGCTTACAATCTAAGAGGGAGGAGCTATTGGTACAAAAGGTAATAACTGTGGGGGATGAACTGATAGGAAGAATAGAAGATTCTGTTATTAGCTGAAGGTGGGATAGGCTTCCCTGAAGAGAGAGGTTTTCAGAGATTGCCTAAAAGTGGCAGAGTAGGCGATGGATAGATTGGGATAGAGAGTTCCAGAGGATGGGGGAGGCTGTGGAGAAGTCCTGGAAATGAGCAGGGGAGAAGGAGACAAGGGAGCTAGAGAGCAGCAGGTCGTGGGAGGAGCAGAGAGGACAGTTTGGGTGATATTTGTAGACAAGATTAGTGATGTAATTTGGGGCAGAGTTTATAAATGGCTTTATATGTTATTGTTAATGTTTTGAATTGTATTCATTGGGCAATGGGAAGCCATTGGAGGGATTGGCAGAGAGGGATGGCAGATATGGAACGGTTAGTAAGGTTGTTGAGTTTGGCAGCAGCATTTATGATAGACTGAAGAGGGGATAGCCTGCGATTAGGTAGGCCAATGAGGAGGGAGTTACAATAGTCAAGGCAAGAGGGAACAAGGAAGTGAATAAGTTGCTTAGTGGTTTCCGAGGTCAAGAATGGGCATATCTTGGAGATGTTGCGGAGGTGAAGTCTACAAGATTTGGACAGTGTTTAGGGCTGAAAGGACAGATGGGAGTCTAGGATTACACCTAGTACCCTGGCATGAGGTTGTATTATTGATCTTGATGGAGAAGTCAGGGGAGGGGGCACGGGCTGGAGGGAATAGCATGAGCTCCGTTTTGGAAAGATTTATTTTGAGGAAGTGGAGTGACATCTATGCTGATTTGCCACTTATATGTTAGTAATGCAAGAGGAGACTGAAGGGGTGAGGAGTAGAAAGATAGATTTGTGTGTCATCAGTATAGAGATGGTATTTAAAGCCATGGGAGTTTATCAAGTGACCAAGGGTGGAGGTTTAGATGGAGAAGAGAAGGGGTTCAAGGACAGAACCTTGAGGGACCCTTACAGAAAGAGGAAGTGGAGAGGAGGAGACTGAGTTCTAGGTATCGCAGCAGGAGCATGGCGATAGGTAGGAGGAGAACCAGGAGAGAGCAGAGTCTCGAGGGCCAAGATAGTGGAGGTTTTTGAGGAGGAGGGGGTGGTCAACCGTATCAAAAGCCGCAGAGAGGTCAAGTAGTAAGAGTACAGAGTGATGGCCATTGGTTATAGCAGTTAGTAAATCATTAATGAATTTTAGTAGGGCAGTTTGAGTGGAGTGTAGTGAGCGAAAGCGAGACTGTAAAGGGTCAAGAAGGTTGTTGTCAGTGAGGTAGGAGCTCCGGCAATTGTAGACTAAGGTTTGTAAGAGTTTAGAGATGACGGGAGCAGGGAGATGGGTCTTAAGTTGTTCAGGTTGATGGGGTCCAGCGAGGGCATTTTAAGTATGGGAGTGATCTGTGCATGCTTTAGAGGGGTGGGGAAGGCGACCTTTACAGAGAGAGAGATTGAAGATGGGAGTGAGGGAGCATAGGACAGAAGAGGAGGGTGACCGTAGTAGTTGAGGGGACAGGATCCAGGGGGCAGGTGGTGAGATGGGCTTCTGAGAAAACTTTAGTGACCTCCTCAGTAGTAGCAAAGTCAAAAGAGGAATGTGCTGAGGGAGGTTTGGTATAAGGTATGCTAAATGGGATAGATGTCTGTAGCAGAGATGCCCCTGCGAATTGCATTAATCTTGATTTTGAAGTGATTTGCAATCTCATAAGCAGTGAGTAAGTTACTAGGTGGAGGTGGAGAAAGTAGAGAGTTAAAAGTAGAGAAGAGACGACGAGGACTGGGTAACAAGATTTTAATAAGAGTGACAAAGCAGGCTTGTTTGGCAGCATGGAGGGAGGAATTGTATGTTACGAAAGCAGATTTATATAGGATGAATGCTTGCTGAGATTTGGTTTTACGCCACAGTCGCTCCAGTGCATGACTATGTCTCTTAAGATTCTGGTGTTGTCAGTCTGCCACAGTTGTAATGGTTGGGGCCTTAAACGTCTTGTAGTTAGAGGAGCAAGTGAGTCTAGTGTGGATGAAAGCGAACTGTTGTAGACAGCAGTGGCCAGGGCAGGACGGGAGTGATTCTGTCATAGAGGCAGTCAGTTGCAGAGTGGAAAAGAGAAGGGTTTAAGTTGTGAAGGTTTCTGCGGGTAATTGCTGCTCAGAGGGATAAGTGTTTGAAGACGAGGACACTGTGAAGGTGATGAGATTGTGATCAGAGAGAGGAAAGAAGGTGTTTGTGAGGTTGTAGGGAGTGCTGCGATGGGAGAAAACAAGGTCTAATGTATTCCCATCAGAGTGAGTGGAGGACTGTGTCCATTGTGTTAAGGCAAAAGATGAGGTTAGGTTGAGGAGTTGGGATGTAGCTGGGTTGTTGACATTAATGGGGATGTTAAAGTCTCCAAGAATG